TTTTTTTTTTTATTATTTTTAAATTTCCCACCTCGGAAGAAGGCAGTAAATCACTTTCCTAGGACCTCCTTGTGTGGATAGAGGAGCGGCGGCAGCCGGCCTCCTTCCTGCCCCCCCCCCCCCCCCCCCCTTGCTTTTGCCTCTTGCCGAGGGGGTGTGTGTTTGTGGTGGTGGTGGAAAACCCCCACCTTAATACGAAGGGAGAAAACCATAGCGAAAAAGCAAGACTTTTATTTCGAGTAACGTTTCCAGGCGGTCAGTTTGGGGCTCGTCTGGGGGGAGCCCCGCGAGTGTCACCCGTCCGTCCCCTCCCCGACAGGGCGCTGGGGCCGGGAGGGTTGGAATACCCGGGCGGTAACGGGTAAGCGGGAGCGCTGGTCGGCAGCCCGGACGGAGCCGGTAACGCGTGGATGTACAACTTAAACTTTGTTTAATTGCTGCGCTGAAGGGAGAATGCCGTGAGGAAGTTTTGGGAAGCTGGTGTGCTGACACGGTGGCGTCTGTCAGTGCTGTAAAAAGACGTGCAATAAACTCCTGCAATCTGAAAGCTCTTTCCTAATGTTTTTATTTTTTATTTTTCTTTTTTTTTCCTAGCCCTTTTCAGTCTAGTGGGTCACTTTGCTTTGTTAAAGGCCAACTTCGTCTTAGAGAAAGGTGTGAATAAGCATGCTCTAGTGGAAATGAGTGAGGATCCTGGAGAAACTTGAAACAGGGTGCGATGGAAATCGAGTTTCTCTATAGGTATTAGTGGAGGTTGTGCTTATCGGGATGTGTAGTGGGGGCTCGAGTGAAAAATGCTACATAAAGAAAGAAGTAATAACTCCAGATTGGCCATTCTTGAGCAAGTATTGGTTGTTGTACTTTAAATGCGTTTAGGAAACATTTACCATCCTGCCAGCAGTTCTGACCAGAAAGATTACAACTTGAATATGCAAAATGTTTGCAGCAATTTGTAAAGGAACACCCTCTTGAAGGAAAGGAGTATTTGGGACAATTGGAGAGACAGCCTTGCTTGAGAATATCTGAGAAAGTCCCTGAGCGTGTTATTAACAGGATACGTGGAGTGTCTTCGTCTACCTGGATGTCTGTTGTAGTGTATTCACCCAGTCTTTAATTTCAGCATGTAATTTATGTAGTAGTCAGACTGCCTAGTCAGAAAGTTCAGAATGGGAAAATCTGTGAGACCCAAAGCCAGTGTATTTAAGCTTGGTTGATCTAAGAGGTGTTGCTGTTCTTACATCTAGACTAGAACTGTGAAGTTCTGCCTGAGAGGAACAGATAAAACGCAAACTTTGGTGTATGAGGAGGTATTTCAAGATGAGATAGTTGGAAGTGAGAAAGGGGGCAGAGATGCAGCTAGCTCAGGGGTTGCAACATAGGTTGAGAGACAATATAATCATGGTCTTATGAGTATTGAGGTCACAAACAGCACAGCTCAACTCTCAGATATTCTATTTAAATGTAGCAGAAATTAGGGTCTGCAGTTGAGTAAGAAATAAGATGCATCACAAGAATGAAGACTACTGCTATTGTAGCGCTGTTCCCTCCTTTTCACTGTGTGAATTGGTTCAGTATGAATTAATTATACATTATATATTCCTTGTTCTGCAAATTTACAGACATACTGTTTTTTGGTGACATTATTTTTCCCCTATTGACTTTTCTTTCAAGTTAATTTCATGCTTCCACACTACCATTCATTGTCCAACAGGAAGGAGAAACTTACATAGATGTCACTCTCCTTGATGCATTCTTCATGTCTTGTATTATGATTTTGGCCCAGTTAAAACAACAACAGCTGTATGCTCGCTAGCTAAGGCCTAACTTGATGATGTGCATTGGCTGCTTTCTGTCTTCCACCTCATATAAAAAAAGTACAAACTTAAGATTGAAGGAAAAAAAAAAAGCTGTCAGGGTCTAAAGCTGATTGTATTGAGGAAAAATGTTATGTTTGGAGGAGTTCTTAAATTCTCAGAAGATGGAAGAAAGGACAAAACAGCGCAAATCCATCACTTCTTCTGGTAATATGTTGTGCAAAATGTTTATGAGGAATGACCTGAAGAAATAAACTGAAGAGTATGAGCATAGAGAGTTGGATAGTAAATGCCTCTCATGATGTAAATTATGAGATTACTGTGACTAAACTGAAGAAATGAACAGCAAGGAAGCTATTTGTGCTGGAAGGAATGTCCTAGGTGAGGAACACAATAGAATTACAAACTATGAAAAGCTCCCGAAAGATAAGCAGGCAGACTGCTTGTGCACACGTGCTGAGCAGTAAGATGTTGCACAAAAAGAAGCTTGAAGAAGGACTGGCAGAAGGGAGTCTGTCTTGAGCAAAAGAGAGGATGTGATTTGAAAAGCACTTCACTGAGCCATCCTTGAGATGAAGTGTTGTGCTAACCCACATTAATTGAGAAACAGCTAGCTAAAGAGGAACTGAGTTTCAAGTATAATCTGGATATGGGTTTTTTTGTCTTCAGTAAACTGTTTTCAAGCAGCAACAGTTCATCACTTCAGTAGAATAACATGCACCTTCAACTTCCAGCATATAGACAAGTTTACCTGGGAGAATGTTGGTTCTCTTTTTGTGAAGATACTAACAAGTAACGTGAACTAGTGCTGTGAAAAAAAACATGATTCAAACATAAGGATCTAGAGTGCATTAAGAATTCTAGTTCTGTTCACTTGAATATGGTGTTCAGCATTAGTAATGGCAAAGACAAGTGTCAAGACATGTGAAGGAGTTACCTGTGGGGGATGTTAATCACTATTCTTCCTGCAAAGGTGAGCTGCTGGCAAGGCAATTTGGCATGGATGTGCTCTATACTGCCACATGCATTCAGTTTTGAACTAAAATAATTTCTATATAGAAGAAAACTTGGTGTTTCTGATCTCTGTGCAACACCTTGAACTTCAGGAACTGTAGAATCAGCTGTGTGTCAGACTTCAGTGGTCTTAGCACTGGAAAATTCACTGCTTGTTTTCTGAATGTCCAATGGCAACTTATTTGATGTAGGTGGTGTTTTTGTTGTTGCGTTACCAAAAAAACAATTTGCCAGGCACAGAACATAATGAACGGTGGGGAATGCTCCAACAGTGGGCCTGTAAATGTGATACCAGCTTGTGAGCAAG